TTTTTTTTTTTTTTTTTTTTTTTTTTGCTGTACGCAATCCTCTCACCGTTGTGGCCTCTCCCGTTGCGGAGCACAGGCTCAGGACGCGCAGGCTCAGGGGCCATGGCTCACAGGCCCAGCCACTCCGCGGCATGTGGGATCTTCCCGGACTGGGGCACGAACCCGTGTTCCCTGCATCAGGAGGCGGACTCTCAACCACTGCGCCACCAGGGAAGCCCCGGTCATGGGTAATTTTTAAAGCTCCCCAGGTGATTCTGTTGTTCCAACTAATGATGTGGTCTTCATTGAAGGGCTAAAGGATATAGAAACTCTCATTCCTATCCTTCATTGCGAAGTCATACTCTGTTCTCTTGGTTTCTACATCTGTAAAATGGGAGTAATGATTCTTAGGTGCTTCACAGGAACATTGTGAGAAATAATTACCATTTGAAAAAGCTTTGAGATCCATGGATGAAAGGCAACAGGGCTCCACTAAGCATTATTTTTACAAGTTTCACCCGCTCCTCTCCTCATGCTCGCATCTGTGACACGTCACGTGGTTCCATATTAGTGAAAGAGAGGGTTGAGAGGATTTGAATGGAAGGTTAGGGTAACTGCAGTGAGGGGCTATGCAACAGAGGCAGACCGTTTCCTCGGTGACTCTGACCATTTTCCATGCAAATATAACTCCCAGTGCCACATGGAAACACAAGAAGGCCCATAATTACTTTGGGAAGGAATTACTGTTGGAAGGTTTGGGGCTCTAAAACCAAAAAAACCATGTTTAAGTTTTACTGTGAATTTCAAGGTGCTAAAAAATGTCCAGTGAAGACAGTTCCTTTCTCATAAACACACCTTCAGTGCTCCAAGTGTAGCTTATACAGGGTGAGTGGTTTTCTCTCTGGTTATCCATGGCCCACTTCTCACCATTAGCTCACTGGGAATGTTTACAGAGTCCTTCTAATGAACTAATGCTACAGAGTCACTGACTATATTTTCAAGGCCACAAATCACACCACCACTCTCTGCCATCTGACCTCCAACTGCCAGCACATGATGCAAGACAAGATAAAAATAATTGCTTAAGAGCTTCCTTAGATTTCTTTTTTTCTTTTAGTGCTAACCATGTATATGTGGATGTTAGGCCCAAACAGTGGAAATATCTGAGCTGGCATGAGGAAAGGCCACTATTCTTTAGGTCACTGAGTGCAGATAAGAGCCCAAACCTAAAGGATTACGATCAGAAAAGGAATGAGACAAAGATATAATTAAGTCTCAGAACACAATTCCTCAAATAGCTATTGTCCAGTAATTTCAAGGCCTGTCTCCCAGCCTCTTGGAGCGAAAATGTTCAGATGGCTCTGAGCTTATCTGCAGGGTGGCTAGTTGTGTCCAATAAATGAAAAGCTGCTTTGCTCCCCCACTGACCTCTTGTGTTCCACCAGGGGCCTTGCAAAAGCCCTCCCTACTTTGCAACGTTTCACAACTGAAAAAAAACAAAACTAAAGGGAAGTTTGTCTGACAGATTTGAACAGGTTTATTCAAACATTCATTGTGTACAGTCACAGAGCTGGAAAAGATCTCAGAGTTACTGAGTCTGGCCCCCTCCTTTTATAAATGAAGAAACTGAGGACAAGAGAGAGGATGTGCCTTGTCCAACCACAAGGCTTTTTAGAGTCTCCTGGGTCTCAGATGGTTCTCTATTACCTTTGAACTTTCTGAAAGTTAGTTACTCCAGCTAGGGAATCACTAGTATATGTCTTTTAAAATTTCAACCCTAATGCTCTAATCCCAGATAAGGGATAGCTTTTGCATTCAATTTCACATATTTTTCTTTATGGGAAATGAACCACACCCAACAATTCCACTCCCTGCAATCCCACCCCATCACCAACAACAATTAGAAGCTGTGAAGGAGGCTGAGGAGTTTTAGTCTATTTTGCCATTAGGCAGATTGACTCCAAAATAATCCTAATCAGATGAACACATTTTTCAATCTGAAAAATATCCACTGATGAAAATGTGGTATTTTCCCTCTGGAAACTCTGCTGCTATCTGTGCTTTTTGTTTATTGAAACAATGTCACCGCCCCCCCCCCCCCCCCCCCCCCCCCC